GGCGTGAGCCACCAGGTGCAGCCTCTAGTCCAGTTTTGTTGTTTTTATTATAATACAAATAAATGCTTAATCACACCTGTAATCTCAGCACTTTGAGAGGCCGAGGTGGGTGGATCATTTAAAGTCAAGAGTTTGAGACCTGCCTGGCCAGCAGAGTAAAACCCCATTTCCACTAAAAATACAAAAATTAGCCAGGCGTGGTGGCGGGCCCCTGTAATCCTAGTTAGTCAGGAGGCTGAGGCAGGAGAATTGCTTGAACCTGGGAGGTGGGGATTGCAGTGAGCCAAGATCACACCATTGCACTCCAGCCTGGGTGACAGAGACTCCATCTCAAAAAATAAACAAATGAAATAAATAGGCCGGGTGTGGTGGCTCACGCCTGTAATCACAGCACTTTGGGAGGCTAAGGCAGGTGCATCACCTGAGGTCAGGAGTTTGAGACCAGTCTGGTCAACATGGTGAAACCCCATCTTTACTAAAATACAAAAATCAGCTAGGTGTGGTGGCGGGTGCCTGTAATCCCAGCTACTCCAGAGGCTGAGGCAGAATTGCTTGAACCCGGGAGGCAGAGGTTGCAGTGAGCTGAGATGGTGCCACTGCACTCCAACCTGGGTGACAGAGCGAGATTCCCTCTCAAAAATAAAATAAAATAAAACAAAATTTTGTTACCATTAATTCACACAGTAGATAAAACATTATAGAACATAGCACTGATAAAATTTGCCCATCAGGAAAACAGCAAGTATCTAAAATGCTACTTTTCTTCTTAAAAGCATATTGCTCCAGTGTGTTCAACCATCAGCATATGTGAGGGTCACCCGGAAGGCTTTCAATAACACAGATGCCGGCCCCTTCCCAGAATCTGATCCGGCAGGTCTAGGGAGGGGCCTGTATCCCCCCGGAGACGCTGCTGGCCCAGGACACCTTGAGAGTCACCGCCTCGGTGGGGAGGGGTGAGGGGAAGCCACTGCTATCAACTATTTTTCTAGCATGTGAGGGGGAGGAGAAGTGAGACTGTGAGTGCTGGGAGTGGGGGAGGGGTGTGTGTGGCTGGCCTGTCCTGCTACAAGGCTCTTCAGTAGCCAGGTTGCATGGCTTGCTTGATGTAACTTCGTCTAAGACAACTAGAAGTGCCGTGGAAAGACAGAAAACCAAACATGTATGGCAAGCACACAATCACCACGGTTTCAGACACACAGCCTCCACATTTACCTTTTGAAATACTCCACTTCCCTCTCTGTCTCATCCATATCCACACTGTCTAGGTCAATATCTTTAGGTAGAAAGACATCATCTGTAAAATAAAAGAGAAGCAGCAAGTCAAATTACAGTAGCAGGCTATCTTATCAGAACAGAAGAAATCATTTGGCTTCGCTCAATTTAAACAACTTCAAAAATTGTAAACGTTTTTCTAAAACGAGATTTTACAGAAGGCCAAAGGAGGACAGATCTCTGGTGTGTTTATGAACATCCAGGTCTGACCTGGAAACTGCAGAACTCACATGTCCGCTAAGCAAAGAAACCGTGGCTTCAGGTCCCATTAGAAGACATGTCTGCTAGAACCTAGACTCCCCATGTGACTGGTCATTACATGACAGGCAGCCCATCAGAGAGCCCTTTAGCAAGAACATTCCCAGAAATCTAAACTGCATGCAAGCCCAGGGACTGCCCAAAGTTTCTGCTGGTGTCAGGCAGAGCATAGCTGCCAGCAGAAGCTATCCAGAGGGCAGGCCCATATTAAGGAAAGTGCTGTCCCTCGAATGTGCCCTTGACAGGAAGAGGACCCAGACATCAACCCTACAGGAAGGCGGTTCTCCCAGGCATTCATCTCACCCATATGACATCCAGAGATTTCATCAAAACTGTTCTTTTCTTTTCTTTTAGATGAAGTCTCACTCTGTCACCCAGGCATGATCTCGGCTCACTGCAACCTCCGTCTCCCAGGCTCAAGCAATCCTCCTGCCTCAGCCTCCTGAGTAGCTGGGATCACAGGTGCACACCACCAGGCCTGTGTAATTTTTATATTTTTGGTAGAGACAGGGTTTCACCATGTTACCCAGGCTGGTCTTGAATTCCTGGGTTCAAATGATCCACCCACCTCGGCCTCTCAAAGTGCTAGAATTACACGTGTGAGCCACTGTGCCTGGCCAAACACTTTCAAGTTGTTCCAAACAAAAACCAAGGCTACATTTCATGCTGCAATTACACAACCATCTTTGAAAACAGGCAGGATAGCAGGGAAATCATTAAGGATTACTCAATTTCCTAGACTCTCAGGCAAGTTTGAGAATTTCTACTCCTCTGTTCTGTTCGGGTCACTCATCTAATTCAATCTTGAGCACCTTCCCGGGGCCTTATCTGAGCCTTGAGTATCAAAGTGACTCCAGCAGCACATATCTGGGCTGGGATGGGGTGGGGGGTGCAGTGCACCTAGCATCCAGCCCCATCAATGTGAACAAAGAGGACAGGAACCACTGACATTTCTTTGTTAAAGGTGAGTCTCCATTTCCCCGCAGTCCTCAACACGGGACAATTTTTCAGAACCTTTAATAAACACTCCATTTCTTTCTACCACTGGGGAATTGTCATGGTAGCGTGAGGCATGTTTTACTTGCATAATAGCTAATATTTTTTTTGTTTGTTTGCTTGAGACAGAGTCTCGCTCTGTCGCCCAGGCTGGAGTGCAGTGGCCGGATCTCAGCTCACTGCAAGCTCCGCCTCCTGGGTTTACGCCATTCTCCTGCCTCAGCCTCCCGAGTAGCTGGGACTACAGGCGCCCGCCACCTCGCCCGGCTAGTTTTTTTGTATTTTTAGTAGAGACAGGGTTTCACCGTGTTAGCCAGGATGGTCTCGATCTCCTGACCTCGTGATCCGCCCGTCTCGGCCTCCCAAAGTGCTGGGATTACAGGCTTGAGCCACTGCGCCCGGCCAATAGCTAATATTTTTGACGACTCACACAGCACCAGGCAAGTGCTTTCAAATGTGTGTGTTCACAGAAATGTCACTTACGAGTCTCCTCTAAGGACCTGCTCTATGACAGCCTTGGCTACTTGGATCCCAACTGTATTCCTGAGGGCACACAGCAGGGCAGAGGCCACAGTCACTGCTGCCACTGGGGACTGGGTGGTTTAGGAATGAAGGCTGGGTGTGCTCAGGGAACGGCCTGGGAAAGTCAACCTTCATTAATCTACACTTAGGAGGAAGGGAAAGATTAGGTTAAAGGAAACGCAGTCAATGGCTCAATCCTGGCACAGAACAGTGGATGTGACTGGAGAGTGAGGACAGCCCCCAGCCACAGCAGGCTCCACGTTTGTACAGAGAGGTGCTTCAGGGTATGGGAAAGCATTCTGAGTCTCCATTTTTAAAAACTCAAGCAGCAGAAAGCAAGCACAGAACACTGTCCACTGACCCAGGAAACTGATGCACAAGCAAGGGTGAGAGGAGGCCGGAGCATTTCCAGATGTACAAAAAGTGAAGATCTAAGAAAGCATGATGTCAGCAGCCACCCACAAGAAGTTCTAGAAGAAAACAGCTCCAACTTGAGAAGGAAACAGAGCTGGCATGCCTGCTGGAAGTGCTGTCATAATAAAGAGATTTCTAATAATATTCTCTTTTCCTGACTAGAGCTAGAATAATCAGTCTATAAAATCTTGGTGTAAGAAAAATATGAAACACAACTTTAACCAATTTGGTATCAGGAAGAAATTTTTTACAACCACCACACTATATTAAACAGGAGAAATCAGTTGATCCAAGGATTTTATATCCAACCAAACTATCTGTTCATTGACAATACAACAGGCCAAAGCTTACTTCTCCAGAGTTCAGGGAATTCTGTGGCCCTACTCAAGGCCACTGCCTGAGGATGAGCTTCACCAACCTGAAGACTCCTGGGAACACTCAGCAGAAGCAAGCGGGAGCCCTGTTGTAGTAAACTGTGTACTTAAGAATATCGTGTGTTCTGACAGAGCAGAAACAACACAAATGAAAAATGGGGCTGGGTGCGGTGGCTCACGCCTGTAATCCCAGCACTTTGGGAGGCCGAGGAGGGCAGATCACGAGGTAAGGAGATTGAGACCACGGTGAAACCCCGTCTCTAATAAAAATACAAAAAATTAGCCAGGCATGGTGGTGGGCGCCTGTAGTCCCAGCTACTTGGGAGGCTGAGGTAGAAGAATGGCGTGAACCCGGGAGGCGGAGTTTGCAGTGAGCTGAGATCCGGCCACTGCACTCCAGCCTGGGC